TTCATTTCATGTCCTCTTCTGAATCCGGCTTGAATTTCTGGCAGTTTCCTGTCGATGTACTGCTGCAATCATTTTTGAATTATTTTCAGCAAAATATTACTGGTGTATGACATTAATGATATTGTTCAATAATTCCTGCATTCTGACGGAATACCAATTGAGCTGTTATGTTATTGTTATATCAGTGAGGCAGGATTAGGTTATGCCAATGAGAATTAAATTATTTTCATTATGTTAATGAGGCAGGATTAGGTGATTCAAGAGATTAAACAAGCAAGCAAGAGAAGCAGAGATGAGGAAGAGATGCCAAGCCACATGAAGATCAACCAGGCGCAGACGCTCAAAGAGACAAAGACCTTACTCAGAGCCGACAGAGAGAAAGCCTTCCCCTAGAGCCGGCCCTCTGAATTTGAACTGTTAGCCTCCTAAACTATGAGGAAATAAACTTCTGTTTGTTAAAGCCATCCACTTGTGGTATTTCTGTTATAGCAGTATTCGATATCTACGAGAACTTGAGATGTTCAACAAATAGATGCAACGCTGAAAGCGCTCACTCATCTATGCCAAGAAATTTAGAAGACAGGTACCTGGCCAACTGACTGGAAGAGATCCATATTTTTGCCCATTCCAAAGAAGGGTGATCTAACAGAGTATAGAAAATTTTATTAGTTAAGCTAGACTATTGCTTGGTTTTCAGAAGACTTCAGGGAATATTTTTGGTTTAAGGTTTAAAGATTATCTTGGGGCAACAGTTTCAGGGTTCGTCCAGACTCCACTGCTCCAGGAAAGTCTGGAGTCCATGAGAGTTTGAAATTCTGTTCTGCTTTCCCCCACTTCTGATCTGGATTCTTCTAAGAATATCTGATCAAAATGTTCAGTAATGGTACCCAAGGTTCAAATTCCTGAGAGAGAAAATCCTGACTGGCCCACAGGGGGTCATGTGCTCTCCAGAAAATGGAGAAGAGAGAGACGTTAAATGGACTAAATAAAGGAATGGCCCAGCCCCTCCTAAATGTTTCTGAAAGACTCCCTACCATAGACCCCTGCCTCAGTTAGTTGTGCCTCCCAAGGGACGAGGCCAATTATTACCCATCCAATCCTCACTGGTTGTTGTTGGCTGCTACTGAGTTGGTCAACTCATGGTGATCTCATGCACAATGGGATCAGACTGCTGTGCTCCACAGGGTTTTCAATGGCTGGTTTTTTTTTGCGGGGGGGGATGCAGATTGCCAGGCCTTTTTGCTAGTCTCACTGGTACTCACCCTTAAACAGACTCTGATCAATACAGTCCAGAGAGCAAAATGCAGAATTCAAGTAAGCAAGAAAAGTTATGTCCAGAAAGAACTCCAGGAATTCACTGCTTTCTTCAAGACAGATATAATTAAAAAAAAAAAAAAAAAATCTGGGGAAAAGACATGGCAAATGTAAGACCAAGGAGGCCAGAACCTAATTTTGGACTGGGCCAAACTGACTTCTCTGTACACATAACTCTGTTGTACAATTCAGGCAGTCAGCTGTGGCTCTACTGGGGCCCGTCATGAGAAGCCAGACAGCCCCTGGCAGAGCTGGATGCCAGACGCCACTGGCTCTGCTGGGCTTCCATGCCCTTCTATGTCTGCCCCTGCTGGGAGGAATCAACTGCTGGAATCTTTAAAAAGCATTAGACTGACTGTTCTCTGTCGGATGAGAATGCTGGCGGGAGATAATGCAGACTAATTATCAGTAGAGGCTGGCAGGAGACCAGGGGCCAAGCCACCACGGTGAATGACTACATGAAGTTAGGGATGTGGCCACCATAACAGGCTGCGTTGGTGGTGGCGGCTCAGGGAATATGGGTTCTGACCATAATGCAATAAAACGGGGAGAAGACAGCAAATGATAATAAACATGTATCTTCCTGGAGAAACTTAAAAAAGTATTTTTCTAAATAATTATTGAGTTTAAAAGGACATCAATTACTGGGATGGAAAATTTGGCAGTGGATATTGGTAATGGTCATACAACTTGATTAATGTAACTGATGCCACTAAATTGTACATGTGAAAAACGTTAAATTGGCAAATGTTGTGTTATGTATGTTTTTTTATAAAAACAACAACAAAAAGACATCAAAACAGGAAATACAGACTAATTTGGATAGGGACAAATATCAGGAATTTCCTCTTGCTGATGACTCGATACTCAAATAAAGAACAAGTGAGCAATAGTCTGTCAGTAGGCTCCAGTTACTAAGAAAATATCCATGGCATTAGAGTTAAGAAACATGTTACCTCTTTGACATTCTGCAAGGTTTCAGGGGTGATCGTGAAGTCCACAGGACTTGGAGTCAGTTTCCCCTTCTGAGGCTAAAATGTGAAAGAAAACCAAAATCAGTTGGTCGAAGGCAACAGTTTGGTAGGCCACACTCCTCTTTTTCCTTTTAAAAAATGAATGGCAGCAAGAAAGACTCTGGAACCAGAAGGCAGGACATTTGGGTTCCGAACAAAGTTCTGCCAAAAACCAATGTTCTGCCCTTTGCCAAGTTTTCTCATTCCCCTGTGACTCAGTTTCCTCATGTGCAAAATAAGGTGATAGATGTCTTAGTCTCCGAGGCCCCTTTCAGGTCCAGAATTTGAAAATCAGACTCAAGAAACAGCAGTATCATTGGGAAGATATTTATTTTAAACATCTTAGAATAACAGCTAAGACTTGAGTGTCTACGACGTGTCATGGACTCAGTGCAATGACCCTGTAGGGAACTACTACTATCAATAGTCCCACTTTACTGATGAGGAAGACGAGGCACAGAGAGGTTAAACGACTTGCTCAAGTCAAGTACGTGGCAGAGCTGACATTCAAACCCAGGTAGGCTGGTTCCAACACTAGCGCTGTTAGCCACTGAGCTATATACAACTGTCTTCCTGGATGAATTATACCTACAAAACTTTAATCGTAAATGTTACCACAAATAACTAACAATGATCATCCCCAAATTACATAGCTGCAGAATCCATGTATACAGCCAAGCTTCCTTACAGCCTGCCTGACATCTTCTACTCAGGTGCCAGACCCAAAAGGACTATCAGCGCCCACATTTGGCCAGCTGCAGTGGGGAAACGGTGCTCATCAATTTGCCAAGTCTACTCATTTACCAAAAACTTATTTTAAGGAATATCCTTCCTAAATATTCTTTTAATTAATAGGTTCATGAACATATTCCTTAGCAAAGATATTCTTCCTTGAACAACAGGTCGCAGCACAGGTCACAAAGACCATCACAATTACTGAAGGCCAACAAGTGGTAACCTGTCCTGGAGCAGTGGACAAAGGCCTTGAAGTAGCTCAGGCCCTTTGAAAGGGCTCTGCAACCATTCATTAGTGGGTGGGCTGGGGAAGCCTAACCCCTCTGAGCTGCTGCAGGCTCAGCACTGGGCAAGGAACTCAATTTGGGTTCAGCTGGCCTCACCAATTGAAGACTCTTTTTATTAAGGACATAAAAGGGTTTATTTTTTAGAAAATAATCTACATATTTTAAATTCATTTATTTGCTTCAATTTTGAAGACCCTTATGAGTCAGAATCCACTTGACAGCACTGGATTTGGTATTTTTTTTTTTTATTATTTAATGGGGGGAAAAAAAAAAGAAGAGGAGCCTCGGTGGCACAACGCCTAATCACTCGTCTATTAACTGCACGGTTGGCAGTTTGAACCCACTCAGCAGCTACGCAGGAGAAAAGACCTGGCAAACTGCTTCCCAAAAGTTCATGGCTTACAAAACCCTATGGGGCAGTTCTACTCTGTCACATGGGTTGCTATGAGTCAGAATCAACTCGACGGCACCCAACAGCAAGAAAGGAGAAAAGGAAAACATCCGTCTAAATCATGTAACAAAAAAAAGATTTTTGGTCATTTTCTTAAAATTGCAATTTAGATGAAAGTTTACAGAGTAAACTAGCTTCTCATTAAACAATTAATATACATATTGCTTTGCGACATTGGTTGCCAACTCCACGACATGTCAACACTCTCCCCTTCTTGACCTTGGGTTCCCCATCACCAGCTTTCCTGTCCCCTCCTGCCTTCTTGTCCTTGGCCCTGGGCTGGTGTGTCCATTTTGTCTCGTTTTGTTTACAGGCTTGTCTAATCTTTGGCTGAAGGGAGAACCTCAGAAGTGACTTCCTTACTGAACTAAAAGGGTGTCTGGGGGCCATACTCTGGGGGTTTCTCCTGTCTCTGTCAGACCATTGTCTTTTTTTTTTTGTGAGTTAGAATTTTGTTCTACATTTTTCTCCAGCTCTGTCCAGAGCTCTGTAATGCGATCTCAGTCAGAACAGTCAGTGGTAGTAGCTGGGCACCATCCAGTTGTGCTGGACTCAGTCTGGTGGAGGCTGTGATAGTTGTGGTCCATTAGTCCTTTGAACTAATCTTTCCCTTGTGTCTTTGGTTTTCTTCATTCTCCCTTGCTCCAGACGGGGTGGGACCAGTGGAGTAAGATAAGAAAATATTTTTATCATTTTGTATACAAATGTGTGCAATGGATTTTATCATTAAGATGGCAAACACCATGATTACTAAAATTTTAACAAGAAGGAAACTACAAATGTCCTAAGTCCTAAAAAGGTTACAAAACTGTGGCACGTGAATGCCAGCAGTGATTTTGCCAGACTTTTGCCCAAGAGATTTAATTCTTGCATTTTTACTTACTGACTACCAAAAGACTGTTGTTGTTGTTAACTGCTGTGATGGTTAAGATTCTGTGTCAACATGGTTGGGCCACGATTCTCAGTGGTTTGCCAATTACATAATGATTTAGTTTGGCAGTTATATAATGAGGCAGTCATCCTCCACCATGTGACCTGATGTGAACAGTAAATCAGTTGTAAGCGGCGTTTCCTCAGGGGTGTGGCCTGCATCCACTATATATATGGATGTACTGGCAAAGCTTGCTTGCTTGCTCCGGACCCTGCATCCAGCCTGTCATCACCTGACCTCCAGTTCCGGGGACTTGAGCAAGTGGACTGCTGTACTGTCTGTAAATCTTCTGATTGGTCAGCTTCCACAGCCCGCGAGCCAGTGACAAGCTGTCTGACGTTCTGATCTTGGATTTGTCAGCCCCTGCAGCTACGTGGGTCAGGAGAAGCCTCCAGCCTGATGCCTGACCCAGGGACTCGGGACTTTCCTGTCTCTACAACCATATGAGCTATTTTCTTGAGATAAATCTATCTATACACATATACACTTCATTGGTTTTCCTTCTCTAGAGAACCCAGTCTAAGACGTTAGCTAAGGAGAGTGGTTCTAGAAAAAGAAATCGTAAGGATGAGTTTTCTAAATTGGTTCTCAAGTCTGGCTAGTCTTAAAGGTGCTGATGACTCTGCCTCCAGTAGCAAAGAGGGTGTTCTTAATCCATGGTGTGAGGTGGTGATATTAATACACAAAATATCACCACCAACAGATCAAGTAATGGTGACAAACAATGCTCTGGGTGATGACATGTTTCATATTTTTCAACAATTCTGACACAAGGAGAAGTATAGGGAAGCTGAATGTTTGGTTTTACTTTTGCTAGACAAAGTGGTGAAATAAAGAGATGAGCTCAGGGCCTCGGAGTCACAGCTCAAACACTGCATAAAAGACATCAAAGCTGCCACTTGTGCCCTGAAAGAAAGTCTTATTTCTTGTAGTAACAGCTGATATTGTAGAAAACCGAACCCAGAGTTTTATCGTATGAGCAGCTGAAATACAATGCCAACTAAATTCCCAATCTCGAACGCTATCTGAAGTTAAAAGTGAGGGCACTGATTGGGAAGAAACGGGATCTTGAAACTTGGGATAAGGACACATGGGCAGATAATCAGGAAGCTGGAGACACTGAGCCCCTATATTTCACTGAATCACTTCTGCCAACAGAACCAGCCCTCTTACCCTCATCTTTCTCTGCTAAGCCACCTTTCCCAGTAAAACCATTATCTTTTCTCCCTCCATCTGATCAGATTAATACAGTCGTGTCTACAGAGTCTTTGCCTGAGATATTGCTTGGGGTAGGGTCTGGGGTGTTGCCTAGGGCATCGCCTGAGGCAGATGCCTTACAAGATATTGCTGAATGTGCCCAGGACCTACTCCCACCATTCATTTTTGCTTCCAGACCTGTAACTAGACTTAAGTCCTAGCGAGCCCCAAAAAGTGAAGTACGAAATGTGACCTGGAGGAGGTACACAACACTCCAAAAGAACTACCTGGCTTTTCTGATATGAACAAAGAGAAACCTGGGGAATATTATGTGGGAATGGCTATTAAGGGTGTGGGATAACGGTGCAAGGAACATAAAGTTGGATCAGTCTGAGTTTATAGATATGGGCCCAGTAACCACAGATTCTTCATTCAGTGTTTCAGCTCAAAGTCAGGAAGGGATCTAACAGTTTATTTGGTTTCAAGAAATATGGATTATGCAATGGCCTACACTAAATCGAGTATAAGCACTAGACCTACTTCGGTACTGTAGAAGAAGATATCTAAAGGCTTAGCGAAACTGGCATGGTAGAATGGATTTATCAGGTTAGAGCCACAGGCCCACACATGGAGTGCCCACACACCTTTTACCACAACAGCGAGGAACAAAATAGTAAAGGGAGCCCCAGCATCCTTGAAGACTGCTGTGATTGCTATTTTATATAAGCCAGATCTGACTGTGGAAACTGCCCAAACTGAATTAAGACACCTAACTACAAAGGGGCTGATTGAACCTGTGGTGGCAGAGGCCAAGTGGTGGTACTCAGTCAATAAAGACAAGGTAGGCATGGTTACTGTAATGGACAGCAGAGACAAAGCAGTAATCAGAATAGTCTGACTTGTATGGACTTATGACATTGGCTACTTAGTCATGGTGTTCCTAGGAGTGAAATAGATGGGAAATCTAATAAATATTTACTTGATCTGTACAAGCAGAAGAACTTACGTCAAGTGAATGGAAGCCTAACTGGAATTGCCAGAATTGAGAATCATGGTCCCTCAATCAATTTCCGGACTTGAGCAAGTTTACAGACACACAACCCCTTGAATGAAGGGGAGGCTGGGTCCCCTTGAGGAAGGGCCCACTACAGTGCCAAAAAATTTTACTGTTATTCTTTCTCCCAGCCTTCCCCAAAGGGATCTATGGCCTTTTACGAGAGCAACTATTCACTGGGGAAAAGGAAATAACCAGAATTTTCAGGATTACTGGATACTGGCTCTGAACTAATTCCAGAAGACCAAAATGTCATTGTGACCCACCAGTCAGAGTGGGGGCATATGGAGGTCAGGTTATTAATGGAGTCTTAGCTCAAGTTCATCTCATAGCGGGTCCAGTAGGTCCCTGAACCCACCCTGTGGTGATTTTCCCAGTTCCAGAATGCATAATTGAAATAGACATACTCAGCAACAGGCAGAACCCCCACAATGGATTCCTGACAAATGAAGTAAGAGCTATTATGGTAGGAAAAGCCAAGTGGAAGCCTTTAGAACTGTCCCTATCTAGGAAAATAGTGAACCAAAAGCATTACCACATTCCTGGAGGGATTGCAGAGATTACTGCCACCACCAAAGGTTTGAAGGATGCAGGGATGGTGATTCCTACCACATCCCGATCCAACATGCTTATCTGGCCTGTGCAAAAAACAGATGGATCTTGAAGAATGACAGTGGATGATCATAAACTCAACCAAATGTGACTCCAACTGCAGCTGCTGTTCCAGATGTGGTTTTATTGCTTGAGCAAATTAATACATTTCCTGGGACTTGATATGTAGCACTAGTCTTGCCAATGCCTTTTTCTCAATTCTAGTTTCGAAGGGATCACCAGAAGTAGTTTGCCTTCAGCTGGCAAGCCCAGCAACACACCTTCACTGTCCTACCTCAGGGGTGCTCAATGAAGGTAAAGGGAATACGGAATGGGTGGTTGAAGAAGGTAGTTCTAAACACTAGTTATGACCATGTGATCAGTTGCAGAAACAAGGAATGTAACTGTTATGAGTATTTCTTCCTTGTATGTGTGCATTAAATATTTTTGTTTCTTCACTTATAAAATATAAGAAGATGTAAACAGGGCTAGTGTATTTTCAGTTGTATGCATGTTAACAGTATATTAGGCACAAGTATGACTTTGTAATTGTATTTACTTAGAGATTATGTATAGTTTAAGAAGATGTGTACATGTGCCAAGTTAACAAGGGGTGGACGTGATGGTTAAACTTGGGTGTCAACTTGGCTGGGCCATGATTCATAGTGGTTTGATAGTTATGTAATGATGTAATCTGGCAGTTATGTAATATTATAGTCATCCATGATGTGATCTGATGTGATCAGCCAATTAGTTGTAAGGGGAGTTTCCTCAGGGGTGTGGCCTGCATCCAATATATATACGTACGTAATGTCAAAGCTTGCTGCTTTCTTGCTCTGGATCCTGCATCTGGCTCATCATCATCTGACCTCTGGTTCTTGGGACTTGAGCCAGCGGCCTTCTGTACTGCCTGCTGATCTAGGGATTCCTCAGCTTCTGCAGCCTGTGAGCCAGTGGCCTGCCATCTGACTTGCCAGTCTTGGATCTGTCAGACCCTGCAGCTATGTGAGTCCGAAGAAGCCTCCAGCCTGACGCCTGATCCAGAGACTTGGGACTTGCCAGACTCTACAACTGCATGAGCCATTTCCTTGAGATAAATCTCTCTCTCTATATATATGTGTGTGTATACATATGTATGTATACACATATACATGTATACATACATATATATATGCTTCACTCACTGGTTTTGCTTCTCTAGAGAACCCAGCCCAATACAGTTACTGTCAAATGAATTCTGACTCATGGCTACACTGTGTGTATGGAGTAGAACTGCTCCACAGGGTTTTCAATGGCTATGACCTTTTAGAAGCAGATATCCAGGTCTGTCTTTCCAGGCACCTCTAGGTGGGTTTGAACTGCCAACCTTTTGGCTAGCAGTCAAGTGTTCAACTGTTTGCACCACACCAAAAGACACCCATGGACAAAAGGAATGCAGCAATCACAAATTTTCCACAAACATAAACTGCCCTGATGGCTTCTCACTCTGATTTACTGGGGCACGTAGTGAAGACTGTGGGGTGGGAGGGACTCCGGGATGCTGGGCTCTACTCAATGCCAGCAATGCTATTCACTGCAATGAGTAAGCGAGTCAAGAAGAGCTGGTGGTCTTGCTGCTTTCTAGCTCTAAGCAATTTCTTGACATGTCATTCCAGCCCCATGGAAACCATACTTTTGGGATACAGGTCTCCTCTAGCTCCTGGGTCCTTAGGAGTGATGTTCCTAGGCAGCCAGGGCTAATGCCTGCCAGCTGCTCTCAGGCTTACCACTTTTAGGCTGTCCTGATTCCTGGGCTCCTCCAGGAACCCAGTATTTTGCTAAATTCTGTCCATGAACTGGAGTCCCTGAGTGGCGCAAATAGTTAAGGCACTTGACTGCTAACTGAAGGGTTGGTGGTTCGAGTTCACCCAGATGCTCCTTGGAAGAAAGGCCTGGTGATCCATTTCTGAAAAATCAGCCACTGAAAACTCTACGGAGCGCTGTTCTACTCTGACACACATGGGACCACCATGAGTTGGAATTGACTCTATGGTAATTGGTGGTGGTAGTCCTTGAATTACTCAAAATCAAACCAAAGGCAGAATGTACCAGACTGCTGAGTCTAGGTAGCTTTTCGAGGAAGAGAGCTAGGTTACAGCAGGCCCTGGGAAAGAGGGAAGGGTGTGACTGCTACAGAGCATGGAAAGGGGGGATGGAGTGGGAAGGAGGCATGGCTGCCTCTTTGTGGTATAGGACTGAGAGACAACCAAGGGAATCCAATGCCATGGGCATGAGTATCTGTCACCATGTGTCACACTTTGGGCAGGGCCGACAGTCACTGCTACATTCTGCGTGGCCAGGGAGTAAGCTTCATGTGGGCTGTGGAGGACTCTGCCAAGAACTCACTCCACAGTGGTGGAGGGGGAGCCAGTTTCCTACGTTTGTACATGAAAGGAATCTTTAAAAAATTTTGTACTGTAAAGTATTAGCAGAATAAGAAGGTGCTGCAGGCAATCCTCCAAGGCCCTGAGCATCCCGGCACATTCTTGCTGGGTATGCCAAGAATGCAAGGCTCTGATCCATCTTTACTCAGGCCATTTCTCAACTGTATTTGCCAGGAGCAACCTTGATGGATGAGGTGGTGTCTCCCTCTGGGACACAGAGCAGGCTTGCTTCCTGTGTACTGTAAAAGCAGCAGGTTTCCCAAGTCCGGTGTTTCTTGCCTGCGACACAAACCTACTACAGGTGTAGTGCCCATCTGGGCTCATGGCGTCACCTCTGTGGACCCTGGGCCATGGAATGACACACATACTAATGCTCATGCTGCCTGATCTGCATGAGAAACAAAGTCCCTCATGTCTGACTGGGGAGTCTTATGTCTTCTACCAACATCTATGAACAGTAAACAGGCTAACTTACTAGCTTTAAGCAGAGTAAAATCCCAAACTCAACACAAGATTTCTATTATTAAGCCCCAGAGCCCCAAGCAAAGCTTACGGCAGAGTGAACGATGAATTCACAGGTCTTGGTCAAGTCCTTGGCCAACAAAGACCGCCTCATGTCACAGCGCAGTGTGTACTGGAAGAAAAGTCGGAAAAGAAAATGCCACTTCAGTACATTTGCTTTCATCTTAGAATTATATCAAAAACACAAGTGATTCAATATATTTTAGGAAAGCTTTGTCCAACTAATGCACTATATAAAATAAATACGAGTAATTTTTGTTGTTGTTAGCTGCACTGAGTTGGCCTCCAACCCATAGTGACCCCATGCACAACGGGATCAGACCGTTGTGATCTACAGGATTTTCACTGGTTGATTTTCAGAAGTAGATCACTGGGACTTTCTTCCTAGTCTTAGTCTGAAAGCTTCACTGACACCTGTTCAGCATCATAGCAACACACAAGCCTCCACTGATGGGCTGTGGCTGCGCGTGAGGTGCCCTAGCCAGGATTGAACCCAGGTCTCCCGCATGGAAGGCAAGAATTCTGCCACTGAACCACCACTGCCCTCTTATATAAATAAAAGGAGCTAATGCTCAAGATAAAGCCATTTCTACCAGAAAAACAAAAACAGAACAATTTAATGTTACTCTTCAGCCTATTCCAACAAGCATCTTCTGGTTGGATCCACTGGAAAATAGGTTCATCATCTTACCTATAATATAGGGAAAAATCAGACTGGTAGAACAGAAAGAGCAGTGCACTTAGAGGGAGAAGCTAATTATTTGTCTCACTGTGTGACCCAGACAAATACCAGAACTTTTCTGAGCTTCAGTTTTCTCCTCTGTAAAATGGGTATGTTAACACCTACTTGCAGTGAGAATCAAATGAGATAACGTGCGATTAACACTCAGTACAGGGCCTGACACACAGCCATCAGGTCCACTCTGACTCATGGCAACCTCATGAGTGTTAGAGTAGAAGTGTGTTCCATAGGGTTTTTAATGGCAGATTTTTTGGAAGTAGATAGCTAGGACTTTCTTCCGAGGCACCTGAGTGGACTGAACCTCCAACCTTTCGGTAGCAGGGACAACACACGTGCTGATGCTTGTGATGCCTGCTGTGCCTGAGAAACGAAGCCCCTCGTTTCTGACCCGGGAGTCTCATGTCTTCTACCAACATCTACAAACAGTAACAAGCTAACTTAGCCTGTAAATTGAGTAAAATCCCAGTCCCGACAGAAGAGTCCTACAATTAGTTGTTTGTACTACCCAGGGACAGTAAAACAGTAGCTATCTTGCAGTAAGGGCTAGAAACTTCCGGAATAGCATGTAGCACTTTGTAGACCAACAGAGGCAAGTTGCTTTTCATTCCTTCATTTACTTGCTTACCAAGCACCCGCCCTTGCGTACAAAGCAGTACGTACCAGAGCCATGTTGAAAGTCACAACCGTGTCCTCAAGGAGCTTACAGTTTACTGAAGAGTATTTACCTTTTTGTAACACAGTAATAATGTTAAAACACCCAGAACTCTAGGGGATCTTAAAAATACTTCCTTGTATTTTAATCTTAAGGAGGAACAAAGAAGGTAGTCTTTTTAAAATTTTTATTTTGGGCAACTTTAAATGTACAAAAGTAAAGAAAAGAGTATAATAGAGCCCCACATATCCATCGACTAACTTCCACAACTGTCAACTCCTGGCCAATCTTATTTTACCTCTACTTCCTCTCAGCCTCCCCTCTCTGCTAACACACAGGTATATCCTGTGTGCAAAGGAAAGTGGGAAGGAAAGAAACGTAGCATCACACTTGCCTTTAATATACCCTAATTCAACTTCTCTGTCACTCTCATATTGTTTTGCTCAAGTCCCCGAGTGAGAGCCCTACCTATTGAGCTTAAAGCTTGGCTTTGAATTGGGAGTGTTCTTCATATCCCTGAACTGAGAGGCTGTTTAGATAATTATCCTGTAACAAAGTTCTATAGCATCATCACTGCCTTAATGCTAGTCGTAAAAAAAAAATCACATACCCATGTTTAATAAAGTTAGTTATTGTTTTCATCATCCAGGAAAAACTTTAGAATTACATAAAAAAAATAATTTTCATAAATGGGACTACGTGCGTAGTTAAATCAAGAAGCTACATTCTTATGAACAACCTATCCACATTAAACAAGAAGTTTCTATATCTACATCTACTGGGAAGACGAAAACATTTTTGTAAAAGAATTGCCCGTCTGCAAGGATCGAACTACCGATCTCTATGCACATCAATATCTATAGATATCTATAGATACATATATATGTACTTTCCAACAAGATTTCAATCTGGTCTTGCAAGCAGACCAGGTCAATGAAGGCTGGTACTACAGGCACCATCTTTCCCCTGCACATCCCCACGCTGTCTTCCACAGCCCTGTAGCGCACTCTGATTCTTTTCCCAGTGGAACTTCCTCTTCCTGGTTTTCCAGTCTCAGGAGTGTAGGTGGGGCTGACCCCTCCCCGCTGAGGTCCACAGCGGGCAGTGAGCAGGGACTGCTGCTGGGACTACGGAAAGACTCCTCTTCCTGCCAGGGTTGCCCACCCCTGAGACTGCAGAAGCCAGCACGGCCATCACAAGAGGCGAGCCTGCCTGAGGCCAAAGCCTCCTGGTGGGGACAGCATGGCAGTCTGCCCTGCAATCCAACCTGGCCCAGATGTTTTCCTGGAATTGCTAGTCCTGTGATCCAATATCCTTTTTTTGGCTTAGGTCAGTTTCAGTTGGATTTCCATAATTTGAAAACGAAAGGGTGTGAATAACAGGAATCAACTTTTTGGTCCGTAAATATGTGTTAAGCGTGAAAACAATAACTAGCAATATAACTTGGTCAATAAGTATTATCAATGCATAAATATTAATATAATTTGGTCACTAAATATTGGCTAAGTATGAAAGTTGGTAATATAAGGCTGTTGGTGATAGTGGGGAGGGGAGAAAAGTGGAGAAAAAGAAAAACACTGATGTTCTAGGAATTGTTTGTTTACATACGCTATCTCAATTAATTCTCACAGCATTAGCTGTCATGGATTAAACTGTGTCCCCCAAAAATATCTGTTAACTTGGCTGGGTCATGCTTCCCAGTACTGTATGACTGTGTATACCATTTTGTAATCTGATGTGATTTCCTTATGTGTTGTAAACTCTATCACTGTGATGTAATAAGATGGATTAGCGGCAGTTATACTGATGAGGTCAACAAGATTGGATAGTGTCGTAAGCCAATCTCTTTTGAGATATAAAAGAGAGAAGCGAGCGGAAACACACGGGAACCTCATATCACCAAGAAAGCAGTGCAGGGAGCAGAGCACGTCCTTTGGACCTGAGGTTCCTGTGCTGAGATGCTCCCAGACAAAGGGAAGACTGATGACAAGGACCTTCCTCCAGAGCTGACAGAGAGAGAAAGCCTTCTCCTGGAGCTGACGCCCTGAATTTGGACTTGTAGCCTACTAGACTGTGAGAGAATAAATTTCTCTTTGTTAAAGACATCCACTTGCGGTATTTCTGTTACAACAGCACTAGATGACTAAGACATTAGTATAGAATGTTATAGTAAAAGGTTTTTTGGATTGAATTGTGTTCCCCAGACAGGTATGTTGAACTCCGAAACCCAGTACCTGTGAAAGAAACCTTGTTTGGAAAACAGGGTTTTTCTTTTTCTATCAGTTGGGTCAAATGAGCTCCCATCAGAGCAGGGTGGATCTTAGCCTCACAGCAGGAGAGACGCTATGTGACCATGGAGGCAGATGGTTCTATGGGCACCAAAGAACGCCAAGGGCTGCTGGGAGCCACCAGGAGCTGGGCGAGAGGCATGGAACAGCTCCTCCCTCAGAGCCCACAGAAGGAATCAACACGGCTGACATCCTGATTTGGGCAGTTATCTCCAGAACTGGGAGACAATGAAGTCCTGTTCTTATAAGCCACCTACTTTGTGATACTTTGTTACAGCAGCCGTAGGAGACTAAGACATGCAGGTTGTTAGGCTAATAATAAGGATAGTCATCGTTAGTTCATCTATTCAACCATTCAGCAACTATCCACTACACACAGTCTATGTGCCAGGCACCCTGCTCAGCACATTCTCATTCTCTCATTTAATCCCCGAGAAGGAGAGGCAGGGGAAGCTGATTAGGGCCACAGAGGTGGGATATGAACTTCCATCTGCCTGTTGCCAAAACTCATTCTCTGAATCCTTATGCTACACTGAGGCAGAGTGCTAATTCAAGCCCAGACTTGTCTGCTGCAAACCTCCTTCCTTCCCTGAGTACTGAGGAGTGATCCAGGTGATGTGAGCTACAGGGGGTCAGAATGGCAGACTGGAACAGGGCATGGAAAGGGAGGTAGGAGATCTGATCTCATTTGACCGCTGATAAACACAACAGCCACAGGAATGAAGAAAGTCTCTGACATGTGTCAACAGACTTACAGCAGATTCCTAAAAAGAATATTCGCAACTGTGAAAGGGTAATACACAAGTTCACAGACATGTTGGTACTGCTGTGTTCTGCAGGGCCACAGAGTAAAACAAATTTGCCTACAATTTAAATAATTTTTAAAAGAAAAAGTAGCTGCACAAAAGACAATTAAAAAACCCTGAGAGATTCTCTTACACAGTA